ATTATAAGGCAATATTTTTCTGATTAATAATTAGGCTTTAAAATTCATAATCGCCTTATAATTGCAGTCGACCACAGGCCCCTCCTCCTACTCTAGCCTGTTGCATTCCTGAATGTCCAAATAGTATCTGTCTATGCACGTGTGCCAGATGTTTGCTCAAGGTCATTGCTAATTCTTGCAATTAATCCACCTGTATAGTATTAATTACTATGTATGGTCATAGTATTAATTTTGCTGGAGCATTATTGCTTTGACTGTGCTGTTTTAAATTTTATAATAATTGTTGTCTATGACTCATTTTAATGATTGACCCTTGTGCATTGAAAGACAGTGAACAAGAAAGTGTCAAATAAACAAAGGATTACAGTGGAGTAATGATGCAAATCTTAAAATTATGGTGGTACATGAGGAAGAAAAAATGAACAATTGTACCGCTGCTAGAAAATTTGTAGCAACTGAAAATAATTTGAGGCATTGGTGGAAACAAAAGACTGAACTCTTTAATGTACATTCTACAAGAAAGGCATTTCATGGACCTAAAAAAAGGACTTTATGGCACTCGGTTTTTTTCTTTCCCATTGTTTCTGAAAATGAGGGTCACATTATATTCAAAATTGCTCTACAAACGAGCCAATACGGTACATTGTATGTATGTATTGAAAATCTAAAAACATAATTTTAAATCTTGGATAAAGAAGAACATTGTTAAGTATGTTTTGTTAAGCATACCACTTGGGATTGTTTCAAAATTATGGCTAACTCATTCAGTGTTTAAACATACAAATATGTTAAGAAATCTTCAGTGTAGACTTAGGTCAGACACACACTTCTTATTTCAAGCATTCACCTAACAGTACAATGTTCATTCAGGTATACATGCTGCATCAACCCTGAAGAACTTGCATTAACATGGGTATTCTTTTGTGTAAAACCTGTAATATTAGTTCTGTAGCACACTATAGTCCAAGACATCTTAAAGTATTAAAAATAGAAATTTTAATTTTTCTTAACCGTAGTAAGATTCCCTTTTAGTAACAGTATAGGTCTGTGTATGAAATAATTATAAACCCAGTTATAAAAGTTTTAGGTCTGCAAATGTAAAATTTTCAGTTATTATTTCTTCTGAGTGCTTCATCACCAAGTGACCAGAACAATTCTTACTTAAGAAATATAGTTGAGACAAATTGCAAGAAATTTCTTAAGTGTGAGATATGGTTCAAAACGTTTTCAGGAATTATTGAAAATAGCCTAAAAGTAGTACTTATTTTAAATATCTTGTGAAATCTTTTTCATTTTTTAGATCCTGTTTAATTCTAGAATTACCAGTTGGGCCAATATAAAAACCTTTTTCTCTAATATTTATACACAAATTATTTGTGGGTCCATATTTTTTTATGTTATAAGGTCTCTAATGCCATACGAGTCACAAAAGAAAATATAGAAGAATGCAATCAATATTGCAGTTTATTCCACCAATTACTGCTCGAGTTCAGTATGTCTTTTGTATAGAAAATCAGTGAGTTCGTTCACCTTTTTTTTGTAAATTATTCAGTATGGAGCAATATCTGTATATCTGTAAGTAAAGACAAGTTGTACCAAATTGATAATTTGAGGGATAAGATTTTAATTCAACAGTCCTTTCCTTAGGTTAATAAAAAAGTTGTATGGTGATTAGTAAGTGAGATGCATTTAGGATGTGGCTTATAGTGTGTACTTTAAACACTGGTAAATATGGATTTTCAATTAGTGTACAAAGTAACACAAATATCTTGTATTTGATATGCTATTTGCATGTTTTAATTTGTAAATGATAGAACTGCTTTTGTTCAGAGAAAGTGAAGGATGTAGTCTAAAATCATGGAAAATGTTTATTGCTTTATTTTGGTGTATGTTTATATCTTTAAAAAAATCACTAATCTTTGAAAACTTTATGGTAAGAGAATTGTGTCAGACTGAGGAGTTATTTGTCCAAAATTTAATTACCAAGATGTGATTTTCAACTTTTTTTAACTTTACTAGAAATTGAATTGTTGAGAAGTCTGGGAGAAAAAAATTCTTCTGTTCGTATTCATCAAATGTTTTTGGATTTAAGTGGAAAACACTTGCTAGTCAGTTTTGTGAGTACTGACACTCAGGGACCATTTGACAATTTTTACTTATGGAAAGGATCACGTAAAGTTCAGCAAGCAAGTAAGATGAAGGTTTGTAACATTATTTTGTATCACTTTAAATTGAACTTGTATGTAAATAATGGAAGGTATTCAATTGTTCTAATACTAATTCATCTTTTCTCATATATCTTGCTAGAATTGTAATGAGGTTTATTGAGTAGATTGCTTGTATATTGTATCTTTTTAAACTATTGCACATTCACACTTTTATTCACACTTACGCACTAGAGCTGGGTGATTTAATCTATTACTTATGAACAATGATTACATTGATTAGTATCCCATGAACTAATCAATTAACCAAAATTATGATCAATCAATTAATGCCATGAAAATGATCAACTATTCAAAATTAGGGCTTTTAATTATTCCATATATCCAAGTAATTGAAATATTGTCATTATGTTTATTTTGTTGTTAAGCGCTAGCATACATAAGGAGCGGGTGGAAGTGGGGGGGACACTTTGTGATTTCAAGGTTTGGTAATGATTCCCATTGTCAATGAATTTACTATTTCTGTCTTTGTTTTTGCAAAGCTACAAATGCTATTTGCCATTGTCACTAATTTTGAACTGCTGATTAGAGGGAAAAAACTTAGAACTGCATAATTGTATTCTTTAATGTTGTATAAGTGGGTGCAGCTGTATAAGGAGGGGCCTCAGGGGTACAGACTCCTGTATCCATATTTGTTCCAAAAATTGATAACTGTATTCTTTAATGTTTTATAAGCAAGAGCTGAGCTAGTGGAGGGGTTCAGAAATTAATAACTATGTTATTTAGCATTGTATAAACAGGCATGGATTTAGGGAAGAGTCCTAGAGGGTCAGAATCCCCACCTCAACCCTTCCACCTATTTTTTTCAGACATTAGTAACTGCATTATTTAATATAGGTGAGTCAATGCCAATTTTTTTCTTCTTACAGAAATTAATGAAAAATATCTATTGGTATTAGAAAGAAAACATTAGACATTTTTATTTGATTGGTCTGTTAATTATTGTAAAACATTTCATTTTTTCTTAAGTTTTTTAAAGTCAATACAGTTGGAGTATATGGCAATCTGGTTATGGTCTCAGCCAGTAGCTGATTATTTCTAAATGAATACAACAATATGAATGTCAATTAAATTTGGCCTTTTTTTGGACTCTAACAACGTGTGTACTGTAGGCTTTAGTGATGTTTTTTCATCAAAGTTAGTATTGCTTAGGACACCTGCAGCTCTTATAACCTATACTTGATACATAATCAATTTTTCATTGTTGGGAAGCTATAATGCTCACAAAAATGCTGGTTTCTTATTGTTGATGGGCCTAGCATGGCCAGGCGGTTAGGGTGCTCGACTTGCAATCTGAGGGTTGCAGGTTTGAATCCCCGTTCTACCAAACATTCTCGCTCTTACAGCCAAGGGGCATTATAATGTGATGTTTAATCCCACTATCCATTGGCAAAAGAGTAGCCCAAGAGTTGGCGAAGGGTGGTGATGACCAGCTGCCTTCCCTCTAGTTTTGCATTGCTAAATTAGGGATGGCTAGTGCAGAAGCCCCCCCCCACCCCCCGTGTAGCTTTGCGCAAAATTCAAAACAAACAAACGTATTGTTGATGTCCAAAATAAGCAAAAGTAGGTGCCAACTTAAAAATAATTGGAAATGTGCATCCTGTTTATGAGTTCTAAAATATGAATTTAAGGTGCAGACTTTATACTTTTTTTCTAAATATAATTATAACTATTTAATTTTAATAACAAAATTTAAAATATTTGTCTTAACTGTATTTATTGTCACATTAACCACATCACTAGAAATAGAGATAAGCTTTCAACTTGAAACACTTATTAGTCATATCTAGTGAGCTTTGACATTTCTTTATTGATTTTTGCACAAATTTTGAAAAATAATTTTATTTCAAAGAAGTATTCAACTAACTTGCGCATTATGTAGGCCTATAGCAGAAACTAGTCGTTTTTTTTAATATTTTCTTGTTGATATTTTTATATGACCATTTGTTGTTTAAAGATGTCATCAAGTAATATGTTTTATTTCATGAACAAAAATTTGATAGTTTTATGGAAGTTTATAGGGAGAAACCAGTGGAAGGTTATTAATCATATTATTTTTATTTTGTTACAGGTTTTGTACTACTTTACATGTATTTTATATATTTTCATGTACAACAGTTCAGGATGAACAAAATATCTTACTCATAAATTATTATACCTGAAGACAGAATTTCCTCTAGTTTTTATATATATTTTTGCCACAAATTTTTAAAGAATTTTATTTCTTAATTCTAAGTACTTAAACAACTTCAGCACAAAAATATTTTAGAATCAATATTTTGTCATGTTCTGACACTTATTTAGTGTAATTGATGAAGAAAAAAGTTAATATTTTCACTTCTGCACAGCTGGAAATAGTTTTGCCTGTAAACAAAACAACCTACTTGTCAATTTCTTATTTTTTTATTTTTCTACCAATCACAAAGAATAACTTTATTTTTGCTAAGAACCTATCACCACATTAGAATATATTAACTATGACTGGATAGAACAAGAATTAGCTTACCATGTATTAATATAATAACTATATAGGTTTAAGAGTTTTTGTCTTTTATAGTTTCTGTAAAGGTTCCTTTCACTGTGAATTGTGAAAGTATATATGTGTTAAAAAAATACCTGTTTTAAAGCTACAGAAATTGATTTAAATGAAAAGACATCAAATAACTTATACAGTTAATCATTTAAGTACTCCTGTTACTGAATGACGTCCACATTGTGGTTTGAATTACCTGCTAGAAATATGAATTGAGTGCACAAAACCAATAGACAAGGCCTAAGCTGCACAGTAATGATCTCAGCCACTGATTTGTATCCAACATGGTATATGTTGTTATTCTAAAAATGGCTAATATTTGTAGTTGAAAATTGTTTATTTTTATGAGAAAATATTCTCAAAATGGCATCAAATCACTTCACTGTTTTCACACATGAAGTCACAATTGAACTAGTACAAACTGATCATGATTCTGGCTTTGAACCTGATTTATCTGACAATTTTGAGTGTGGTATGACTGACACTGGTGTGGATAGTTATAGTAGTAATGTCAAAGCTAGACCCATGGGGGCAAGTGAAGATGTTACAGTAATTACAAGGTTCCCATTTCTAAAATGGTAAAATTTCAATGTAGAATTCAAGGAAGATCTCGTGGACACAGTGCAGGATGTAACAACAATATACCTGTTGCCATTGCTAGTACAGGTGAGTGTACCATTACACACACACATCTTCCCAGGGATAGGCCTGGTAGAGCTCAACAATTTGCACATGAACATGGTTGACTTATTCATGGCATCAAGGGTACAGGGACAACCAATATCTAAATGACGCATACCCTATTAACTTTTTTGCAATCACCCCTTGCTAATGTTTGATCACATTGTAACAAAAACAAATTGCTATGTTGATCAGTTTTTACAAAGGAAAGGTGATGATTTGAAACCATATTCACGATTTTGCAAATGGGTACCTGTGAACTGTCAAGAGGTGGAAGCATTTTTTGCTCTGCACCTTGTAATAAGCTTAGTTGATAAACCTGAGATAGAGATACTAAAACACATTTTGACTAACAGCCATTCCTGGTTTCAGTTGTGTCCTTACTAGGGATAGACCTGAATTGATCTTAAGCTTCTTTCACTTTGCAAACAATAAAGATCAAACTGTCGAAGGTGTTTCTTGTCATGACATGTTATTCGAGGTGCATCCACTGATTGACATGATAATTCACAAATTTACGCAATCATTTGGTCCAAAACAGGAGTTTGCATTAGGTGAAATGACAGTCACTCAAAGGTCAAAGATTCTTGAAATAGTAAAACCCCAAGGAACTGGATAAAGGGGGAATTCAGAGCTTTTGTATTATCTGAGTCAAAATGTGGATATGTTCTTGAATGGTCACTTTATGCAGGTAAAAATAGAAATGTTGCAATTGAGGATAGTAATGATGTTTCAGTCACCCATAGGTTTGTTAGGAATATTATGGTATCATACATTAACAAAGGTCATGAACTGTATGTAGACAGTTATTACACTAGTATTTCATTGGCTGAGGAACTATCTAATCAGGACATGGGACTGTGTGATACAGTGAATGTGAACCACTGTGGCATGCCAACAGCTTTGGAACCCGTTATCATACCTCTCAGAAAAGGTGACAATCCTGTGTTCTAGACTGACCATGTGTAGTTATTTTATTATTTCATCCATATTCACAAATCACCTCCAAAATAACAGGCTGAAAAATGACAAAATTTGCCTGTTCAGTGGAGTTCTGAACAATAAGTACAACATAGCATAATATAAATAACTGAACTGTGTTTTTATGAAATCAGTTGATTTATTTGTGTCAAATAAGAAGAAAAATTAATAAACTACAAAATTCTCAAATATGGTTTAAGTAGTTTACCTAGACACATAAATATATATACATTACGAGGCAAAGAAGTCACATGATTGAGAATTGCTCAAGTCTTTATTGAATGTTGATTTTATGTTTATCTTATTCAAACAACATACATAAATAAATTGTCTAACTGTTTGTAATAGTATTGTGACATGTTTCAAATAAAAACATTACTACCCTTATCATGACAGTAAAACATGTTTCCATTATTTAATTATCAGTTTCTTTGATTTACAGAAGATCAGTATGGGATTGTTGCATATTTAAAAAAATGAACAACAGTTATCACATGGCGAAGTTCAGTTAACATTAGTGATTAATCTACCAAGTAGGAATTGTCCATAAAACTTGTGGGATAACATTTTTTCTGACAAAAAAATTGTTTTTGCAAATGCCAAAGTGGCAACCTTCAAAAGAAGTGTATCATATGAAACTAATGGTAATTTGAAAATGACTTGGAAAACAAATTAATGTAAAAGAAAATATGTAAATGAATACAATATTAAAAGAAAACAGTTGTTGGAAAGTTAAGATGGTAGTACATATCCTTTTTTTGTTTGTTGTTGTTGGTTGTAC